AAAATGTGTTATAAGTACCTATAAATGTCCCAAACAAATCCAAAATCAGCCTCAGAACTCATTTTTGCCAATTTTAGAATTATAGTCCGGCAGCTCCGCCGTGCTCCAGTGACGGTGTTGCCGCCCGCAATGGTGTTCCACTTTGGGTCGGCTGTTTTCAACTATTTTCGGGCGAATTCAGCTGATTTTGCATCAATCTATGCGAGAAAACATGTTAAAAGGTCTCGATTGGCCGAAAAAACACAAAAAATTGAAACTCACCAGTGACGGGGCTCTCCGGTGTGACGGCTCCTCCAGCTCACGTTGCGGTTAGGTGTACCTGTAGAGAAGGAAACGATGATCACAATGGTGAAAAAATTTTACTGAACGGGAATCGGAAAGGGCCTCATCGAAGGCGTTTTGTGAAATTTTCTGCGGCGTCATCGCCGAGCTTCATCTGTGGTTTTTGGCCAATCAGCCAGTCTTTTTGCTCCGATTTGAACATATGGGTGTTTAAAATTAAATTCCGAGCAAAAAAGAAAATGTTTACCTCTTTTGGCAGTCGAAAGTAGCTTCAGCACGGCGGTGACTCTCCTTCCCAACGGCTGGGTCTTCTTCTCCAACAAGGGCGACTTGCGACTAGGGCTAGGGTTTGGTATAAAGATGGTTATTTATACTCGTCTGCTTTTGATCTGGATCGTCCATCGCGTTTGATCTGAACTGTCCGATCGCGATTAAATATGAAGTAAATTTGGCACATTCATCGCAATTCAATCTAGACCGTTCATCGTGATCTAATCTGGGTCATCCGATCGCGTTCAAATTTGACCGTTCGATCGCGTTTAGAGGGAGACGCATCAGGGTTGGTACGCGTGGGAATAGATCTGAGCTGTTTGATCGCGGACACGCGAATCGCTCGCGTGGCCTCCCACGTGGCACCGCGTCAACGTCCGCTGCCGCATGACATGTTTTGATTCGTCGGAGCTGCTGACCGGGCATCCTACGTGACAAAATTTTTTTAAATTGCATTCTGACCCTCGATTTTCGATTTTTCTTTCAAATAAAATATATCATAATTTTAAGTTAATTTTATATTCAATTCAATTATAATACGTACAAATATATATATTCTAAAATCATGGAATTAAACATAGAATTAAAATTGATTTAACTATAGATAAAAGTAAATGATGACTTATTTATTATATCTTCCATAGTTAATATTTAAAAATTAAATAAAGAATAATAAAATTGAATGACTTTATCAAATAAAACTCAATTCAACCAAGTATTTTTAAGTACAATTGTTTTTAAAATATAAAGATGAATTTTTTTAACCCGTTACGAGGTACTAACTAAGTGAACTCGGCAAAATTGAAAAATAAAAAACCAAGTACTTAATTAAAAAATTAAGAAAACGGTATTAAAAATGTTTGCCAAATCAAGATTGTAGGGACTTTTTGGTAATTTTATGAGTTCAATGTTTTCATTACTGTGGTCAAGTGTGTAGCAGCCCCGGAAATTTAAAATGAAAATTATATTATGAATATCAAATGCGGAAGCGAAGTCAAAATTTGAATAACATCTCTTACACTAAAACCAAAAACGTGCTCACAAAATATAAAAGATTAAACTACCTAAAGGAGAAACTTGAAAGTAAAAAAAATTACGAATGTGACTAGGGAGTCTTTAGGCGTCCCTTTCGTCGTCCTCCTGCGGAACCGGCTCGGGAACGATGTCCTCTTGATCTGAAATGATTAAATAAGGAATGAGCTACACTAGCCCAGTAAAGACATCACGATATCTCACCGTCACGGAGGTAAAGGTGGGTGGAAAACACAAAAAGACCAATGGAGCATAATTTACAACAAATCATTTTATTAATAATAAAATCTTTACCATCCACTTACCTCGGTGGAATTTATAAAATAATATACGAAATCAATAACATTATCATAATCATGGAATCATATAAACTATAAAACATAACACTTATCATGCCTTTTGTAATTCAATCATTATACAACATATCTTTTCCTCATTTACCAGCCCACTAGTATCCATTGGGATCCATAGGGGTCCCGCTACCCGTTAATCCTTAACATTTAAAATCCATTCCAGGGCCGTCCCCATACCCCGTTCGGTATGGGCGCCAAACCATAGACCTCATTACCTCGTCCGGTATGAGGGTGAAACGGGCCGTCCCCATACCCCGTCCGGTATGGGCGCCAAAACACATAAGATCTCCATACCCCGCCCGGTATGGGAGACCACAATCCCGGTAGGGTTCCCTACGGACCCGGTCCGTCCACATCTCCCAGGATATCTAGTCAGGCTGACCACATTATACCATTACCCATTTACATAATTTTTCATTCTCTTTTTCCTCAATCAGCATCATTAATCCACATACAAGCAAGCAAACAGTAATTTATGCTAAACAGACAACATACAGCATCAATATCCCGGTCATTTAATCCATAATCAATAAAACAGTAAAATATGCACACGAAACTATAAAATGAAAACATCGAACCTCATGCTACATTTAAAACTGTAAAACAGACCAAATAACAGTTAACCGACAAATACACTAGACTTGGGCTCCATTAGCGACCTTAAGCAATTTCACACATTCGTTGATTCATGAAATACCGTTTTATCATTTATTAAACTTTAAAACCGTGATAGGAAATAAGGTGAGGGGTCCTTACACGTTTCAGGGTCCGAACACGGCTTCACAGTGCGCCTACAGGCTGTCCCTAATTTTCTCTGAATTTTTCTCGGGGAACTGAAACGCACTACTGGTACCTGCACGTGTTCCAAAAAATCCCAAATTAGGCCCAGGGCCCCTTTCGGCCAATATCGCAACTCCGGCACGGCGGCTCCGCCGTGCTCCGGCGACGGCACCGCCGCTGGCGGCGGCGATTCGCCTCGAGTTGGCTGTTTTCGGCCGTTTCCGGCCAAATTTGGCCACACTCGCATCGGTCCCTGCGACAAAACAACCCTAGGGCCCTCGGGGGGCCAAAAAATCACGGAAAAACGGAGCTTACCGGCGGCGGCGCTCTCGGGTGCGGCGGCTCTCCGGCGAGGTTCGTGTTTTGGCGATTCGGCTCTGGTCAACCTGTAGAGAAAAGAATGGTGATCACGATGATATAAAAATTGCATCAAACGGAGGCCGAGAAGGGCCTCATCGGAGGCAAAAACCGAGAAGGGGCGTGACGGCGCCGCTGGGCTTCGGCCGTGTATTCCGGCCGTTTGGCCGGGATTTTGGCTCCGATTTGGCCACAGGAGGAATTAGCGTGGAAAAACGAGTCGGGGGTACGAAATTTACCTCGATCGGCGGTCGGAAATTTCCCCGGTGCGGCGGCGGGTGGCGGCGGCTGGGTTCTGGTTCGTCTTCTCCGGCGAGCGGCAGGCGGCTAGGGTTTGTGGTCTGGTGTGGGGGTTCTATTTATAACCCTTTGCCTTTTGATCTCAGCAGTCCATTTTGTTTTAATCTGGACCGTCCGTTTTTGATTGAATCTGTACCGTCCGATCGCACGCTTGATCTGGGCCGTCCGATCGCGCCTACGCGGATCACCAACGTGGCCCGTTTCGGAACGACGTGGTCTTGCCACGTGGCAGGTCTCGGTTGGCCGGGACTGCTGACCGGGCCTGCTGACGTGGCTGCCGACGTGGCTTTTTTTTTTTTTTTTCGGCCCCTTTCCGGGCGCTACAAAGTGAGATAGACATTGCTAACTTTTTATTTGTGAAATCTAACAGTTAATGCCACACGGTAGCATAAGCTCTAACGTGTCAGCCAATAATTGGATATTTAAAAATGAGACCACTAAAAAAGACGGAACACTTCTCTTTTAAATTTTCACTAAAATTTTCAATGAGCAACCATGAGTTCTCATGCCATCACATACGTCAAATATCAAATTTTTTTAGTCCTTTAAATTGTATCGACTAAGAAAATTTAATCATTATATTTTTTTTTGTACCCGGTACATTATAACTCGCTAAAACGAAACTTACATTATTATGATGGTCCTACTAGCATATTAATAAACTAAGTTATAAGTTATATTGAATCAAATATTACAATTCAGTTATTATTAGCATATAATATACTTATAAATTGACGAGTTATACGTTATTAGTGAAGTTTGAACTAGTAAACTTTCAATAAAGTGCAAATATTTTAATTATAATACTACTGTGTTGGTAGTAATTAAATATGATGTATTTAATACAAAAAAATTAATTATATATAAATGATTTTCTACTTAAATTACTCATTTAAGCGTATTTATCAAAATTGGAGAAGAAAACCAAATTAAGATTGGAAGGACCTTTTGGTAATTTCATGAGTTTACTGCTTACGTTACCATAGTCAAATGAGATAGACACAGCTGATTTTTATCCGTTAAATGTAACGGTTATTAATTTTATATTTTGAGATAAGCTTTGACGTGTCAACTAATGATTTGATGTTTAAAAACGCTTCCATATAAAAAAGACAGAATCTTTGTCCTTTAACTTTTTCACTATGATTTCGAATGAACGGTTCAGACTTTCTCACATCGTCACGTATGCCACGTGTTGATGTTACAGCCCTCTATTATTGTTTTATAAACTCAAAAGCAGTCTTTTTCTTCACTTTCTCTCAATATCTATCTCTCATCTCTCTCTCTCTCTTTCTCTCTCTACATCGCGGTAGGTTTCAGACTCTGAAAGCTTGAGGTTTGTCTTCTTCGCTCATCTTCTTCAATCTGCCCTCTTGGGTCTTTATCTCCTAGTATAAGACTTACATTTTGTGTTTTTTCCTTGGTTTTCTATTCACACAATCAAGGTTCAAAGTCACAAGGGGCTTTTCTAAATTCTTCTCTCTTTATCGTTTTTTTTTCTCAATTTTTCTCTTCAAATCTAAAACTCACCATTTTGTTTTATCCGATCTTCTCGCACTGTAATCCTTTTTGATCTTCTTCTTCTTTTGTATCTAGATAGATCGACTGTTTTTTCTCTTGACGAAAATGGAGATGGAAAAAACCAATTATCGTTCAAAGAGCTCTATCCCAACCTTCGCTCAAGGCCTCTCTGTCCTAGTGGTTGATCAAGAGACAAGGTCACGCATGCACCTATCTTCACTGCTTGAACAGTACAACTACAGTGGTAAACTCCCATATATATCTGTGTGTTTGTATCAATCAGATCTAAATTTTGGTTATCGTGATTTTAACTTAGTTTAATTTAAAATTTACGTTTTTAATTTGATGACAATATTTTTTCATCTAACCATAGATTTAGTTCTGGATTATCTCTATATATGCGTATGCCTTTATATATATGTCTCAGTATGTTTGTGTATGTGTATGTATTGACATAGATCTCGCAAGGTATTTTTCTATACTCAATAATGTTTAATAAAATTGTTCAGATTTTTCATAGATCTACAACTTAACCATTCAGCACACAATAAATAAAATTATATCGCCCATTTATGTATGGAAAAGAATTGAATGAAAGGTTGGTATTGTAACATACATATGTCTAGATATTGCACCATATGGTAACTTATTTGAATTACCCATATGTATATATATATACAGCTAGCTTCTCCTTTTTCAGTATAATATATATATAAATATATATATACAGCTAGCTTCTCCTTTTTCAGTATAACATATTATATTTTTCTTTTTGTTTGAATGAGAATTGCTTTTTGGACATGCATGCGAAGGTTTGTCCATGTATACATGTTTTATTTTTATCATTTTTTCAAATATTTTTTATTTTCTTTTGTTAGATAATGACACTTGATTATTCTTATAATCTAAAATTTAGAATTTTTTTATTTGAATTGTCATCTTTTATTGTCTTTTCATATTTTTCTAAGTGAAAGAAAAAATTATATTTATTATGTATTATATATATCTATTTATCATTTGAATATATAGAAAAATACATGTAAATGGGTAGATTCAATTATTCATTATTATTAGAAATAGAAAATCACGGACAATAATGTTTAATAAATTAAGAGGAAGCATAATCCGATCACATATGTTATATAAGATGAAAAAAGAATACATTTTTTCTATTTTAATATTCTAAATCTGATTTGGTCATTAATTTTTTAGAGTCAATCTCTAAATATATCAAATTAATATAGAAAACATATCATTACTACGATTTTTAACTTTGATCATATATAATTATTATATCTATGTTCAAAATAATATTTTAACTCAGACAATTCATATGATTCATGATAAAATATAATACAAATATATAAGCAATTAGATTCTTCGTTATCTCAGTATTTATTCCATAAGATAGAATGCGAGTCTGCTAGTATGTGCCATCTCTGTATGCATATTTAATTTTAAGTTTGTGCTGAAATTTAAAATTAAATACAATCAATCATTATGAATTTCATTATTCTTACATTCAAACATACCCACATGCATATACATACATAAGATATTATGCATCCCAGTTCATTAGATTTCATATATTTATACAGAATATATAATTTCATTAAGAAAATTTTTCAACTTTTTTAAATTTAATAATTTTTATTTATTTTTTATTCTTTCAGTGACGACTACTGAATTTGGAGTTGCCGCTGTGAGCATGATTTTGGCACAGCCAAATCTTTTCAAGATTATTATGGTATCTATGGAATTACATGATTTGAACATTACAGTTTTTATGAAAACAGTGGAAAGAACAGGAATTCCAATAATTGGTAAGTTAATTCAAGAGTTTGTGAGTCTTTTTAATTTTCAAATCTTCTTATTTTATTTCTATTATCATGCAGTGATGTCCTCAGAGAACAATATCAAAGCTGCCGTAAAAGCCTTGCAAGATGGTGCATACTACTATCTTGAGAAACCCATTTTACCAGAGTATGCGAGACAAGTCTGGCAATATGCGATGAGCAGAAGGAGACCAAATGAAACCACACCTGGTGCCAGACCGGCCTCTTATGTTCGTCGAGAAAACAGGGAGGAAAGTTCAAGGAAGGTAGTACTGGAAGTCGTGAAGATCAGCGAGGGAACTGGTGTGTCAACAGCCAGAAAGGAGGCGGTCAACGTTGGCCCTAATGCTCCGAAAAGGGAGAAGAAAGCAGTAGATCAAGGAAAGATTGGTAATGGAGTTGGGAAAAATCAAGCTAACATGGACCCATTAGGGATGTCTAAAAGTAGCCAGAATACTCCAGTGTCAAAAAGAAAGGAACCAAATGCTGGAGCTGAGAATGGAAAATCAAAAGTGAGAAAGACAAGATTTGGTGAGGAAGACGACGAGGATGACAAGGGCGAGAACGGTGCTAAGAAACAACGTCTGGTTTGGAACCCAGACCTTAAGTCGAAGTTTACAGCTGCTGTTAATGCTTTAGGCAAAAATGGTGATTTCTCACTCCTCACAATAAGTTATTACTTTAATTTTAATATACATATACACACACATATATATATATATATGCACATAGTATATATAATGGTATCCTTTGTTTTCTACATACAGATGCTCGTCCAAAGACAATCCTGAATATGATGGATGTTCCAGATTTGACTCAACGCCAAGATGCTAGTCATCTACAGGTTCCTTACTATAACCCTTTTTCTGCCAGTGTTTCTTAAATCCAAAAGCTATTATCTGCTCCAGAAATATAATTAACTTGCAATTAAGAACTTTTTCCCCCAAAAATAAAATATAAAATATTTTTTATAATAATTATATCTAAAATTTTCTTTTTATAAGTTTAAAGTAAACAAAAAATAGATAAAATAATTTTATTTTTTATTAAAAATTTATATTTAAAATTTTAAAAGTAAGTTTCACAAAACACAAATAACTATTTTTTTAAAATATTAAATAATTTTTAAATAAAAATATTTTAGTCAAAATTATTTTAAAAATACTTTTAAAATTCACAAAAAAAATTACAATCTACCCAAACAGTCACTAAAAATTATAAGAATAATTATTAACATCTAATTTTCTTTCGCTTTTATATTGTATGTAGTCAGGTTTATACATGTATTAATTATTAATCTTTACTACTTCAAAGAACAAATTTGGTTAAGTATTCGTAACAAAATCAAAATTAGAATGTAATTAACATACGATTCGATACAATTTACAGAGATTTAATTTTGAATTTTAAGTCAAATTATAAAATTTTTTATTAAAATAAATTTTAAAGTATGATTTATTGAAATTTACTAGACATGTAATATATGGATTTTTAGGGTCTCAATTTTGGTCATAATGGGCAAATGTAATATACAATTTATCAACCATATACTATGAAATTTTGCTTTTTGATTTTTAAATAATATATATTAGTATATATATATATATATTCTTTTTTTCCTTGAGTCAATAACAATAAAATTCTCCAATTTTCTATTAATTATAAATTTTATAAAATTATGCATGCATAGTAGAAGAAGTACAAAACTCTTATGAATGTAGGGAAAATATATACATTATAGAAATAATTATAAACAGATTAGTGTACAAATACATTGAAAGTTTGATATGTTGGTTGAAAATCAGTCTACGTATATATAAATCTTATTGTTATATTATCACTGATGAGTAACGGAGTTGTGTTTCCAGAAGTACAAAGCTCAAGCTCAACCCCTTCCTGAGTCCAAATTTCCCTTGACATCCTTACTACTTGGCAACCAAATCAATGATTCTGGACCAGCACTGCCAATGAGGGAAAACAGTTCATTGCTGCAATCGAGATCTCTGCAAAATCGAGCACATAATAGCAGTTCATTTAGGCAGTTCCGATCATCATCTCAGCGGCTGCAGATTAACAATGCGAGGGTGCAAGCTGGATCTTCGCGACCATGGCTGCAAAACAGCAATTCAGTGCTGCAACCAGGGTCACCAGCACTAGCTATGCCGGGAAACAATTCAGTGCTGCAACCAGAGTCACCAATGCTAGCTATGCAGGGAAACAATCCAGTGCGGCGACCCGGATCAGCATCCTCACTAAACCTGCAGAATAATATTTCAATGCTGCAATCCGGATCATCAGGAAACATGCAGCATAATATCTCGTTGCTGCAACCCGGATTTCCATTCAGATGGCAGCAAACTGATGTTCCTATGCTGCACCCCGGAGCAAATGAGAATTACTTGATGCATATTAACAATTCATTGTTGCAGATTGGATCCTCGTTCAACAATGTTCAAAACAATGCATCAAGGATGCAAGTTGGATCATCATTTGGAGTACAGACTCACACTTCGATTCTGCAGCCTGGATCATCATTAAACTGGGTGCAGAATAACTTACCAATGTTTCAACGAACACCCTCGTTTAATTTCTGGGGAAACAATAAATTGCTGCAATGCGAGTCATTACTAGACGAGCCGGATGAGGATTTGTTGTTGTATCATGGACCACTACCACAATGGCTGCAGGAAACTCTTTTGGTGCTGCGACAGGGATCATCATCATCATCACATGGTTTCCAGAATTACATTTCAATCCTGCAGCCTGGATTCTCATCACATAGTATGAATTGGGTACCAATTCAGCTGGGAGGTGGAAATAGTGGACTTCCTTCTGGAGGTAATACTATACAAACTCGATTTTCTCATCCTATAGTAAAGTAGGTGATTCATTTACAAGTTTCAGAACACAAACTAAACATGATAAGTTGTTTATATTTTGACATTTCTTCGTCTGTCATTTGGTCAGGTATATTTCCATTTGGATCTCAAATGCCATCTATTGCAGAAGATGAGGAGCTGATGTTGATCCTAGCAAGCTTTAGTCAAGACATTCCCCCTGCAGCAGAAACACTTGAGGGCATTTTCAATCAAGGCCCGCATGGCAGTTTAGTTCCTCCACTCTTTTCAGATAATACATCATCTCATGTTCTTCGAGATGGTAATCTTCCTCCTCCTACTATAATTTACTTATAAATTGATGAATTATACGCTATCAGTAAAGTTTGAACTAGTAAATTTCAAGTATAACGCAAAAATCTTAATTAGAAGATCATTATATTGGTGGTAATTACTTATGATGTATTTAGCAGAAGTAAAGATAAAAAAAAATAAATTATACATAAATAGTTTTCTACTTAAACTACTATTTTAAGCGAGCTCGTCAAAACTGGAGAAGAAAAAAGTAAATAAGTCATTGAAAAGTTGAAAATGTTTTTAAAAATGTTTACCAAATTAAGATTGAAATGATCTTTTGACAATTTTATAGGTTTACTGCTTCCATTACCATTGTCAAATGAGAGAAACATTGTTGATTTTTATCCTTGAAATCTAATGGTTATTAATGGCATATCTTGACAAAACAAAACCCTAATTTTTTAACTTTTTCTCTAGGATTTTCAACCATCTACTTAGAAAATTTCAGATTATCACATATGCCACATGTCGATGTTACAACCCTCAACTCATTGCTTTAGAAACCCAAAAGCAGTCTTTTTCTTCACTCTCTCTCACTCTCTCTCTCTCTCTCTCTCTCTCTCTCTTTCTTTCTAAATCGCGGTAGGTTTCAGACTCAACTTTTTATGTTTTTTCCCTGTCATCCTATTCAGACCAGTCAAGCTTCGACGTCACGTGGGGCTTTTCTAAATTCTTCTCTCTTTATGTCTTCTTCTTCTCAATTTTCTCCTCAAATCTATATCAGATCTTCTCACACTGTCATCTTTTTGGGTCTTCTTCTTGTTTGATATCCAGGTAGATCGACTGGTTTTTTCTCTTCACGAAAATGGAGACAGCGAAAAACAATTATCTTTCAAGGAGCTCTATCCCAACCTTCGCTCAAGGCCTCTCTGTGCTAGTTGTTGATCAAGACACAACGTCGCTCATGTACCTGTCTTCACTGCTCGAACAGTACAAGTACAGTGGTAAACTCCCATATATATATGTGTGTATATGGATATATATATATATATATATATATATATATTAAACAGATCCAAATTATGATTATCCCCTTTATCTTAGTTTGGTTTTAATTTTATATTCTTAATTTGACGAAAATATCTTCTCATCTAACCATAGATTGGTTTTTGGACTCTCTCCGTATATGCATATGCATTTATATATATTTGTCTGTGTATGCTCTCGTATATATTGATATAGATCTTGCAAGGTATCTATCTATACCCATATCTTGCATAAAAATGGAGTTTTTGAGCTAAAATTATTCAAATTTTTCATGGATCTGCGGTTTAACCATACAGCACACAAGAAATAAAATTACAGAACACACACACACACATATATATCTAGATACTGCACCATGCGGTAACTTATTTGAATTACCCATATATATATATATATCTAGATTCTCCTTTTTCAGTATATATATTATATATTCCTTTTTGGTCGAACGAGAATTACTTTCCGGACATACATAAGAACATACATAGATTTGTCCATGTATACATGCTTTATTTTAATCTAATATTTTTTATAAAAAAAATTCCAATTTTATTGGTTTAATAAAGATACTTGATTTTTTTATAATCTAAATTTAATAAAGATATATTTATGTAATCAGATTCGATTGTTCATTATTATTAGAAATAGAAAATTATAGAGAATAACATTATCTGATAAATTAGAAAGAAACATAATCCGATCAAAAATATTATATAAGACGATAAAAATAAACAGTCTTTTCTATTTTAATAATCTAAATTTGATTTGATCATTAGCTTTTTAGAGTAAATATCTATATATATCAAATTAATATAAAAAATATGTTATTAATATCATTTGTAATTTTGTTTATATAATTATTATGTGTACCTTCAAAACGACATTTTAACTTATACTTCAATATGATTCATATTAGAATATAACACAATATACTATATTATGTTCGTATATGCATGTTGGGCTGCCGCACAATGGCATGTGCCGCATTTATGTATATTTGTACGTGTATTTATTTCGTAACTATATACATTACTTCATGAACCAGCACATGCAAGCACACCCACGTGCATATACGAACATAAAATACTATACTTCCAACTATTGAATTGATCAAATTCATATATTTATATACAAGATATAATTTTATTAAGAAAATCTTTCAATTCTTTTGTTCTTTCTTTCTATTTGTCACATTAGATTGATCAAATTTAATTTTTTTCTTAATTCTTTCAGTAATCACTACTGAATTGGGAACTGTCGCTGTGAACATGATTTTAGCACAACCAAATCGTTTCGAAGTTATTATAATATTTATAGAATTACGTGATTTGAACATTACAACATTCATGAATACGATCAGAAAAGGCGAAATTCCTATAATTAATAAGTTGATTCAAAATTTTATAATTCATTTTAATTTTAAAATCTTCTTATTTTACTTTTATGATCATGCAGTGATGTCGTCGGAGACCAAAACCAAAGTTGCCCTCAAAGCCTTGGATAATGGTGCATGCTTTTATCTTGAGAAACCCGTTTCATCAGAGGATGCAAGACAAGTCTGGCAACATGCGATGCGGAAAAGAAGATCAAATGAAACGACACCTGGTGCGAGACCAACCTCTCGTGTTCATCGAGAAAACAAGGAAGAAATTTCTGGGAAAGGAGTACTGGAAGTTGTGAAGATCAACGAGGGAGCTGGCGTGTCAACGGCTAGAAAGGAGGTGGTCAATGTTGACCCTAATGATCCGAACGGGAAGAAGAAAGCGGAAGATCAAGGAGAGAATGGTAACGGAGTTGAGGAAAATCAAGCTAACATGGAGCCATTAGGGATGTCTCAAGGTGGCCAAAATACTCCAGTGTCAAACAGAAAGGAACCAAATGCTGGAGCTGAAAATGAAAATAATGGCAGGCTTTTGCCTCAGAGAATGTTAGCGGTAATGCGAATGAAGAGGGTGGTGAGGAGGACAGGAGCGAGAACTGTGCTAAAAAGCAATGTCTGGTTTGGAAGCAAGACCTACATTTGAAGTTTACAGTTGGTCTCAGTGCTTTTGGCACCAAAGGTGACTCCACACTCGTCCCAAAAAGTTATTACTTCAATTTTAATATATATATATATATATGCACATATACATACATATAGTATATATAGTGATACCCTTTGCTTTCTACTTGCAGAAGCTCGTCCAAATAAAGGCTGGATTTTGTTCGTGCAGATGCTCCTTCAACATTTAGTATATCTAGATATATATATACATATAATATATATAGTGGTATTCGGAAACGAATAAATGATTTGAAAAAAGTTATGGAAATTGGGTTTTTGTGGGCTTTCGTTCCCCCATTGGTTTCTTTGGTTTCGGGCGGGTCAAGCCCATTAGGCCCTGAAATAAAGGCTGCCTAATTTTATACTTAAATTTGTCTTTATTTATTTAAAAATCTAGCGTGAATTTGTTGCTACGCGTAATAATATAATTAATTCTCTATATATATATATAAATTAATTAAAAAAAGTTGATATGAGAAATTTATCAAGAGAAATAATTAATAAATTATTTTTCTTTTTCATAATTATATCATTGTCATATCCTATAATCCCAATAAATTATTCACCTAAAATATAATTATAATTATATTATTATTTATTTTACTTATTGTTAGAAAAGAAATTGTAATATATATATATATATATATATATATATATATGTTCATGACTTCATGAGTGCATATTCGAACATATGCATGCATAGCCTATTGCTGAACCAATTAAGTCATCATGAATTATATACATAATTAAGTTGAATTTGATTTATATTTTAAATTTCGTAGAATAACAAGTATAGAAATACAATATTATAACGGTTCTGGAAATATTCAAAGGAAATAAATGATAATTAAAACACATAAGCGAAATAAATATTCAAGTTTTACATTCATTACACAATAATTTAAAGTACCAAATATTGTTACGGAATTCACATTTTTGAAAGAAATACAAAGAAATAAGGAAATGAACGGAAAATAAAGAAAACTAACATTCTACTCATAATCCTCTTGCATATCGGGCTCTAAATCCTGGTCCTTTTGATCTGAAACGGTTAAATAAAGGATGAGCTGCACTAACCCAATAAGAATATCACACTATATTACCGACACATAAATGAAGGTTGGTAGAAAATAAAAAAATAACTAATGGAGTACTAAATTAAACAAATTCATTTATCAATAATAAAATCATTTACCGTCTACTTACCATAGTGAGATTTATAGAAAATAACATATAGAAAACAATAATATTATATATATCATAATTCCATATATAATTGGCAACATAACATATAATTTACTTTCATATTCAAATCATCAAAATAACAATTGCCCCTTTTTCTACCAGTCTGCTGGTATTTATGGGGTTTCATAGGGATGTCTTCGCTACGTATGAACATTTTTCTTTAACATTCTCCATTCGGTATGAGCATCAAATTACTAAACATCAATATCCCATCCAGTATAAGGGTGAAGCTGGCCATCCCCATACCCCGTCCGGTATGCGACAACATTCACAGTAGGGTTCCATATATACCAAGCCTGTCCACCATCTCTCAGAATATTTAGTAAGGCTGCCGTTTTATCTATTTACTTAATTACATAAATTTTTCGTTTACCTTTAACCTCCATTTTTTTTTTCAATTCAACCGTAAACACATAAAACAACAATACATGCATTCAAAGTTATAAAAATAATCAACAGAACAACAGTATATAATTTCTGGTTCTGACTCCATCAGCAATCCGTAATTAATTATGAATATTTTTTAAATTATACAAAATACTGTATTTATTGTTAATTAGACATCAATTCTATAATAGAGAATATAGTGATGGATTCTTACTCAATTTGATACCCGAAAGGCTAAACTGTTGACTGCGCTTACTGATGGTCTTCGAGTTTTCTGAATTTTTCTTCGGGAATCAAAATGTGTTATAAGTACCTATAAATGTCCCAAACAAATCCAAAATCAGCCTCAGAACTCATTTTTGCCAATTTTAGAATTATAGTCCGGCAGCTCCGCCGTGCTCCAGTGACGGTGTTGCCGCCCGCAATGGTGTTCCACTTTGGGTCGGCTGTTTTCAACTATTTTCGGGCGAATTCAGCTGATTTTGCATCAATCTATGCGAGAAAACATGTTAAAAGGTCTCGATTGGCCGAAAAAACACAAAAAATTGAAACTCACCAGTGACGGGGCTCTCCGGTGTGACGGCTCCTCCAGCTCACGTTGCGGTTAGGTGTACCTGTAGAGAAGGAAACGATGATCACAATGGTGAAAAAATTTTACTGAACGGGAATCGGAAAGGGCCTCATCGAAGGCGTTTTGTGAAATTTTCTGCGGCGTCACCGCCGAGCTTCATCTGTGGTTTTTGGCCAATCAGCCAGTCTTTTTGCTCCGATTTGAACATATGGGTGTTTAAAATTAAATTCCGAGCAAAAAAGA